GGCACGAGGGTGAGCATTAAGTGCAGTATCGAAGATTTCGCCGAGGCGGCCATAAACCTTTGTTCTCTACCGCTTCATCTCCGCTTCTTTATATCACACTGCCCCAGCGCGAACAATTGGCCCTGTCGTGGGCTTGATCATCGGGAGCAAGTTCGCTCACGCACTAGTACGTACCTACATCATTGGAAGTCCCGTTCTTTTACTTTTACCTTGACTGGGCCAGACGATCTGCTACGAAGACACTTGTAAAGCCTATTGTAATCACTGTGACCGCCTACCAAAGTGTCCCGACGGGGAGGAGGTACCCAGTATGGTGGAATATATCGCGTGCAAGCACAATACAAAGCGGCCTGCCGCGCGGCGACCGTTGCGTTGAAGTGATAAATGCATACCCGTAACTAGGCACGGTTACGTTTAACACAGCCCTTTTCTCATTCGCTGCACGCAGAGCTCTCGGTCAGGTGTCAATAGTGGCTAATATTGCAGTATGCACGAAAAAGCGAAGAAATAAAGTACGGCTCCCGTTAATCAGTTTACCCGCAGCACACTGAAGAGTTCATGCTCCCCGATCGCCAGCGCAGCGACATGTGAACATCCCAGGCAACAAGTTATGGCTAGCAACGGAATCCAGCCCTCCTCATTTAGGCCCCTCCATAGCATGCGGCTACTGCTGTCTGCAAAGCTGATGTTAACATAAATACCTGTGAAAGCGCCCCGTACATGTCGAACAATCAGCAAACCAAAGTCATCTACCCGATCCTGTCTGTTCTTTTTAACTACCTAGAAGTATATTTGTATGGCGCTCAGCTTTTTCTTATAAGTGACTCGTTGCTGACTTGTCTAGAAATGTGCTGGTACGACATTGCCCCCGTCAAAATGCTCTGCGGTCACTCGGGACCGGACGGGCCCAATCGACCCAGGTCGTGCGGGCAGAATCCGTGTGTTACTGGTGGGGTTTATCTGACCAATTATCTGGCAAGTACCAGGAAGAGGGACCCCTGCGACGATTGTGTTGCCGCTAATACCTGGACCAACGTGTCTGGCAAATGGAAGAAGGCTTGAGGGGGACTGTGGAGCACTGCTAAGAAGTTTCGATTTAAATACATTGAGATCCCTCCCCCTTCAGTCGGGACGAGTACTGTGCACAATGGCTGGTCTAAATTGGACATTTGACCAGCTTGCTAGCTATTTAGACGATTCTTCGTCTCTGCGATCTGATTACAACCCTATTATTGAACGACTTCTCACTACTTGTTCCAATTCGTCTGTTTTCGGCATTGGCGGCCACTCCGTAGTGCTTCGCATCTCCTCTGGGATAGTGGCGAAGGTGTGTCTAAAGCCAGGAGACGAGCGCCTACGTCACGAGCAGAAAATATTCGAGTCACTTGCCGAAACCAAATGCCCAAACGTTATCCGATGTTACCTCCAAACACCTGACGTCAGTTTTCTTGAACTCTTAGAAAATGGCACTCTTCACGACCGAATGAGCATTAGCAAACCTCGACCGATTCTGCCTTGGATGCTACAATTATCACGCGCGGCCGCGTGCCTAGAAACGCTAGGCTACTCCCATGGGGATATCAACCCACAGAACATTTTGATCGGCGAGGATGACCAGCTTAAGCTTATTGATTTTGACCATTCGACTAAAGTCGGCGATGAGCTTGATGTTGGCTACGAGCCCTACGTTCGACAACACAGGAAGCTAATAGGTGGTGTTTACGGGGTTGCTGGTCCAGTTACAGAACAGTTCGCCTTAGGGTCAGTCTTCTGGTACATGACACGTGGCTCTGAGCTGTACTCTGAACTTGAAGGACCCGATCAAGTCGACCGCTTGCTTGATGGGATTTTCCCCGCAACCGACCCGCAAGACCCAATTGATCGCATTATCAGCAATTGTTGGAACGGATACTATCTCAGCATAGCCGATCTCGTCGACAACATCCAGGGCATATCAGGATTGAATATGCAGACTCAAATGACCGAAAATTTGAGTCTGACGCTGGAGCGAAGGCTGTTATGTGAACAGTACTGTAAAATGGCCAACCTAGCTCCTCCGGGAAGCAATCCAAGCAGCGAGAAGCTTGGTTTTGAGGTCAAATACGGAGATGATTCGTTGGCAACAACACAGAACACCACCAGCCTATCCACAAGAAATTTCTTTAGTTTACTCACGTCAATCATCCCGCTCAAGTGGAGGCAGAAGAGCCCGCTATAACGCTTCCCAATATCTTTTAGTACTATCTCATCGGTCTGCTGAGGAATGTTTTTTGTAATTGTCTCTATGCGATTGGCTTCAAGTGAATGCGATATATTGCTCATACTGAAGAAACAAGCAGCCGAATACAAAATAGTTTAGTAAAGAACAGCGCCTCTGCGCCCGCTTGTTACTTTTCTTCATTCGCAAAGTAACACGGGGGTGGACTTGTGCGCGCGTAGTTAGAAACCGCTGTTGATACAGGCGTTCTCTTTCTGGCCCAGCTGGTCCCCGTCGCCGTCCCTCATTCGTACACCTGACCCAGGAATCTACTAGCGACTCGCTCTTGGAAAAGTAACAAAGGCGACGGGGCTTGATGGAGAGTTCGTGGTTCGCGATCGAGCATGCAAAATAGCGCAAAGCGCTCCCCTGACTCGGCCACTGGCTGCTGGTTTGGCCGGCAGGTGCTATCCGCCGGCCGCTCTTCGCGTGCTCCAGCAAACCAGACGAGAAGCTCAGCATCGGCAGACTAGGTACTGGTAAGGAAGCAGTTGATTTTAGCTACAGGACAGTGCAGTGCTGTTCTAGCAATTCTTTTACATAGATGGTTCGGTATAACAGTAACTGTATCAAAACGCGTTGTGTTGTTAAAAGCTGGCTATGTGCTAGAGCCTAAAGTGGGTCAAGTGACACAGGTGCTGCCCTCGCTCTGCCAAAGCGATGCGTGTGTTTTTGAGGATGTCTGCTGACCTTATGCATGTCTTCGTTGACCGTTTTTGACTGGCTGACAACGAGGCGAGGCTTGTACTTGCCACGTATGCTGCATGCTTGCTTTTTCCACCTGTCCCCCGCCCTTTCAAAATGGAGGAGAAGTGCGAGGCCTCGTTCCCATCGCTCTTTCATACCCATCCACTCGGTTGTCAAGATGAAGAAGAAGAAGTCTAAGAAGATACCAGACTCGACAGATTCGGCAGTGCCCGCTGTTAACAAAACTGCCGACTCTCGCCCGGAAACATCGTGAGTGTACTTCCATGGCCTTTGCGATGATTCTCTAACGTTGTTGCAGAGTTTTCACCGCGCCCATCAAAACCTTTCAAACAAATGATGGCTCTCGATTTAACATTCTATTGCCGCTACTTAAAGAATGTCCAAAATTGGCTGACAAAGTTTCTGATCAATGGGGTATTGAACCTAAACTTGACATTACCCCCCAGGTTGGCCATATATTGGTGAATTATCTGTTCACCAAAAGATATGAGCACATCAGACCGGAAGGCTCGTCGGATGAAGAGCGTTTCCTTGCAGAATTGGCCACGGATATCCGTGTCTATGCTTTTGCTCAACAAATGGATTTCGTATCGCTTCAGAATCTCGCGATTTGCGAGATTCAGCGAATTGGGAGATTGCTTCCATTCGTTACCATCGTCGATCAGGTGAGGATCGCATATCCGCAGATTCCTTCCGACGATCTCTGGTTCATCGGATACTTGAAATCTGGGATCAAGTCATTGGCAGAGAGTGAATCGGCCCTGCCCAAACAGGGCACACTCAGCGTTAGTGACGTACTGTTGCAAGGTTTCATCGAGTCATATACCAGTGGTATAAGTTCCGGCAAAAGGTCACCGAAAGCTACTCCCTGTACTTCGCAAGACGGGTTCACGCTCGTGATGTCGCAAATTACCGAGTCAGAACCGGAAGCAAATGCCGAAGGCTCGCTGATGAATCATCGGCTTGGAGCTGAATCTGAAGCCGAGCCACCAGTCCACAGGGATCGCCACGAGAGCGATGAGGGGCTTCGAGGCAGTCTTTTGGAGGAAAAACGAAGCGAAGTGGAAACCTGTCCGTTGGTGGATGAGCTCAAGATCGAGCCTGAGATTGAAGCTGAGAAACCAATCGCTGATGAGACCGCTCACAATGACAATGACATCTGGGGCAGCTGTAGCAGGAGGGAACCAGCGAAGACGAGCCCGGGCCGGCATCTGACTCAGCCGCTACCCGATTTCGAGCCTAGGAAGCCTGTCGTTGAAAGCATATTTACTTTTGGTGAAACAGGCTGGGGTGGGCAGCCAACGTGCCCACTGCGCTCAGAGCATGTCTTTGGCGATGGATTGACCGGCTGCACCAACTGCCAGAACTTTGTTCATCGAATCTCAAAGAAGTTCGCCACGGCTCAAATTTAGCTTATACCAGTATTACAATACATTTGCGTGTCGTAGCTCATCTCCATCATCGTGCAGATCCACATGCACGCCCTCTCGTCCTCTTTCTTGGTGTCGGTTTCGCAGTCCTCCCTGACGAGCTACAGCTCGCTCTCAGGGACCGCGTTCTCGAGCTCACTCCCCGTCTCGGTGTCATTCGGAGACTCCTTGGTGCCGCGACCTTCTTGATCCAATGGGCGGTCAAGATCGCGGATCTGGCCCGGGTAGTTGGACACGATGACGGTGATGGCTTGTCCTTTCCCAGTCTTGGCGCCTATGAGGCGTCGTCGCATAACCTCTGCGCGTCAATTCGCGGTGATGGGTATCCTAGACATTCCGCAGCGGCGCACCTTTTTTGGGCTTGGTTACATTTTGATCGATAATTGCGCGTGTACTTTCCGCTCGCGATGAACTCAATGTATGTAAGGGTGGTGTAGCCATGCACAAGCGGCGAGGGAGCCGGGAAATCCATTTCTTTTTTTTAATATATGGTCTCCTAGCCGCAGGTGAGTAGTCGCCGGCAAGTGTCGCGATGGAAAGTCCGAGCCTTAGCAAGGTGCAGCGTCTAGGATACTGTACTCCATTGCTGCGTCCCACTACTTGGGAAGCCCGAGTGATTACTCTCCCGGCCGTGGCCTTTGAGGTTCCAGGGCGGCGATGTGTGCTTACAGCGTGGAGATGTATACTTCCAGAGCGGAGCCGTGTACTTCTGCTCCAGATACGGCACACCACTCGCACAAAAACAGAACCTCCGTGTGAGGCGCAAATTTTGTATCCGTGCGAGACACCTTTCTGCTACCCTGTGATTGAATCCTTGTCGAGAACAGGGGATTTGTA